GCACACAGCCCACAACAACGTTAACCAGTCTTCTTTCTGTCTGGGTAAGGCAAGCACAGTGCAAACTCTGGGCCTTCCTGCAGAAATCTCTCTCTCTCTCTCTCTCTCTCTCTCTCTCTCTGTTGCCCCTTTAGCAGGAAATTTCATGCCAATCGGGATGCAGGAGGTGCTAATGATGGGCTCATTTTCAACTGTGTTATGTTATTTAGGAGAAAGGAAAAATAAAATATAAAGTGGATTGCAGTGCCTGGTGACGATCATAGTATGAAAGTGGCAGGTCAGGCTGTGTTTATCTTTGCTGCTGCCTGTGGGAGAACCAAGGGCAGCTGCAACTGTCGAATCTCAGACTTAAAGAAGTGATAGGGTGTGCATTTCTGAAGGAAATTTCATGCTACAGAGAACCAGTAGTATAATGACACTGAGTGGTGAAGTGCGACATTACCACTCAGCTCTATAAGCTAGTACAGATTTGTGGAAGAAGAATGAAGGAGATGAGTCGTGAATGTTGTGGATTCTATGAGTATAGAACCTGGAGACTCCTGGGCTCAGAAAGAGAGTGTGCAGTGGCCTGGCAAGCTTGAGGGTTAGCAGGCATGTGTTTTTTATTGTTGTTTTTTAAATGTCTCAGTTTTCTGCTTATGTATTTAAATAAATGGGGCTTCCTCTGTCTAAAATGGTCTTTACCTGCCCCTTCCATTCCACCTGTCATAATCAGCCTTGTTGCTCTAGTTAGTGATATGCACACTGAAGTGTTTAGGGGAAAGTGTTATGCCTGCCACTTAGTTGTAATGTTATGGCAGCACCAATAAAATAAGATGGCTTGGTAAAATAAATAGAGGAATGGAGAGATGGGAAAGGTATTTGATAATGCATATATAGAAAAAGTGAATGGTAGATTCTAGGTGGTTAGGTATATAGTGATCACTGTAAAATTCGTTTTGTAAAAAGCTTTTCTGTATGTAAGAAATTTTTCATAATAAAATGTTGGGGAAAATATAATCTATCCTTAAAGGCCTAGCTTATGATCCAGCACTTTGGGAAAGGCTTTCTAGATTCCCTGAATTACTTGTGGCTGAATCCCCACACATGTTACTGGAACCTCTTTCATGGCAATTGTTGTCATCTGATATATAGAGCTGATTTGCTCCTGTATCTTAGCCCTTGCGTTGCACAGTGAACTCTTTGTTGGCAGGCAGGCTGTCCTCCCTTTATATCTCTGATGCATCAGACAGGCATCATAAGGCACAGTTATGTGGGTGGAGATGGTCCCCACCCACATAACTGTAGGATTAGTTTAGGAATATCATGATTAACTTTAAAGTTAACTTTGTTGAAATTCATTTTTGTAATTAAGGTTTACTGGATAAAGTACCACTGTGTGTGTGTGTGTGTGTGTGTGTGTGTGTGTGTGTGTGTGTTTTGAAGGGGGAGAGAGAAATGAGGGTTAACATTTACACTACCCAACATCCTGATCATGGCTGCAAACAAGACTGTGCTGTGTGGACGGAGGCCCACTGCCCGTTACATCAGTGATGGCTGGTGCCACTGAGCTCCCTGTCCTTGATAAGGGAATTCTGTATCTTACCACAATTCAGACTCAAAATTCTGGGCTATATGGATTCACTCCCTTTAGAGAGCCATGCTATAGAAATATAAACAGGTCTCAGGACATTCTATCAGGATCACTAACAAGAATCTATTCAGAACATAGTTGATTTTCCCCAAATATGTATAACCCCAAGCAGTCAAAAAGATATACCAAAGTCATTTGGAATGGCATACTTATTTTCCCAACAGGTGAGCGTATTTTAATTCTGGGAAGATTTAGAGAAAGGATGCAGTTTTGAAGGGTGATCTTATAAAACACATGTAAAGCACAAGGAGCTTGGGAGCTATGACAGGCTTTTAGTGAAATGATGACAGTGGCATAGTGCTCTGCACACAGTAGGTACCCAGTGAGGGCCTGTTGTAGAAGTACCAATTTTTAGAAGTACTGTAATCAACATATGAGTTGATATTGTTTAACTCCAGGGGGTTCCATTTGCATAGACTACAGGGAGCACAGTCAAGTGTGGCTGTCCTGGATGTTGACCTCATTCATTCAGCCAAGTGCCATAAGAAATGAAAAGTTAGTTATATAGGTGATGTGTCGCACATAACAAGTAATTCTGTCTGCTTTCACAGAAAATAAGCAAGTGTGGGGCATCTGGACAAGGTTCAGATGAAATTGCATGTAATACAGAGCCCTGAATTTATTTCATCCTGGCCATTCAGGTGGCCCTGAACAGGGTGCACAGTGAGGCCCTGAGCTGGAGGATGCTTGGCTCCTCCACAGACATTGTCATTTAGGTCTGGCTTCTGTAATTAGGCACTCCTAGCTGGACTCTGCTGTCAGCAAGCATTTGAGACAAATTGCAAAATCTGTACAACCATCTGAGAGATGAAGAAGTAGACCAAATGACACTACAGGAGATATTGGTAGTTCTCAAAAGTTTAAAAGGGAATCCTTAGAGAAGCAATCCTCAAAACTGAATTTCCAGGTCCCTTTTCTGTGGTTAAAGGGTAAGTTCAGTTACAGAATCAGGATCTTAGGGGATCCTGACAGTCTGGGATGACAGGTTTAATCTATCAGGATGAAACGCAATAGAAATAAATGTCAGTTTCCGTGTTTGGATCTGGAAATTCTAACTAAGCATAAAAAGACTGGGCACAGGATGGTAGCCCATATGAAAAGAACCTAGGAGTTCAAATTGACATAAGTTCATAGTTTATTGTGGTCCCCCCAAATCAAAGGCAGTGCTGCATGAACAGGGGGTAGAGTTTAGGATAAGCAAGGTGATGGACCCACTCTGCTCTGTGGATCTGTCACAGCAGGAGCATCACTGCAGTTCTGGGCTGCAGGCTATGAAAGGAAAATGACAAAGGATGGTCAGTGTC